ATTTTTTTCTTAGTACTGTGAAATCCTGTTTGGAGCAGAGAGCCACTTTGGTTGTACTGAGTTCTCCTCAGCCTCTGCTTTACTGACTTCTACAAGTTCAGTATCAAGTAGTAAGTCAAACCAGAGAGGCTCAGAAAGAGACACTCCAAAATGTCATAAAATATTCACCTTTTTATGACATTTAGTGTCTATTTTAAAATCCAATATCTGAAAGTCTTAAGGGGCTAGAAGCACATGCAAGACAAGAATTTTCTGATAGGTATTCTTTAGTTTTTGGCTTTTTAGTTCCTGACTTCTCATCCTTCACCACTATATTTTAATTTCACCTGCTGTTACATATTAAATGTAATAAATAAAACATTGTAAGTTATTTACATGTCATTGTCTCCTACTTCAATTAAGTGAGTGTACTTTGGAATTCACAAAACCACACAGCTTATTTGTATAACTGCATCAAACTTCAGAACCAAGCTATACGCTCTGCCATCATACTAAATAACAAGAATTTTCAATACTAGAGAGAAGGCACCTATTCCAACTATGGCAAATGGTCTTCACTGGAACTACAGCATCACAATAAATTTCCTATGATTCCTAGTTAACAAAAACTAACACCACACTCCTCCATGTTATTATTTTTAAAGAGATAAAAAGTAACAAAAAACATATTTTGTCTGGAACTAGGAGTGAAATCCTCATTCAACTCAAACCAAAGGGATTCACAGATCTTAATAGATCTATGAATTAACTAAAAACATTTTAAGCAGATATTGAAGAATACATAATGTGATCCTGTTAAGACTCAACCTTTTACCTGAGTTTTATCCAGTCAGTTGTCTAGTTGACTAGTAATATAAATTATATCTGCACAAATCAAATGAACTACACCAGCAGGAAATCTGAATGTAATTGTCTTCTTGTACCACCTTCAGGTTGCCTACAGGCTTCTGTGTTTGTACAATTTAGTTAGTTTTCTCCCTCTCTTCTTGCCCTCCTTGCAGTATCTGCACAGTGCATTGCTGCTCACATAGCACTGTGAACACATGTTCTCATGGTGGTTTAGCCTGAGCTTAAGTAAAAGAGAACTCCTGGCAAGACTTTCTGCAAATACACTGGCACAAAAATAGCTGTTAGATGATGTCATGCCAGCTCAGCTTGGAGCTTTTCATAAAATGCAAAGTTATGCATTATGAAAAAAGCTGTCAAATACAGAAAATATCTGTTTGGTAATAATCAAGTCAGATAAAACTGTGATAATCTGGCTACAAAAACAGTTAGATGTGTGATGTAGGCAGAGTGGTCAGTTGCTGTTGATGTCAAGAGAATCTCAATGACTGTTGTGAAAGAACAAGTTAAATTAAAATTTTAATTCTGGAAATGGGATTAGCAAGTCTGACAATGCTTCTAGGGTACAAGTGATCATGGATGTTTCAAGTTTGTTCACGCCAGCATTAGAAATTGATAACTTGTGAGATATTAGACATTTGGATCTCCCCAAAATTCTCATGTGAATGAAACATTTCCCACTGCCTCACAATTAATTGGCCAAGAAACTGAATAAGATACCAGGAAAATTCAATTCACTTTAGCACAATCCTACTGCTACTAAAGCATAATTCGTATTCAGTCAATGGATACCTTAAAGGAGTCATCACGGTCTACTAGTAATTTGTAGACAGAGCTGTTTGGGTGATAGCCTAGTAACTTGCAAGGTTCTGGTCTTTGTTAAGAAATTCTTAATTAGTAAGTGAAATACAGGCTGCTCCAATCTCAATTAAATGGTCAAAGACAGATGGCAGTAAAAAAATGCAAGGCATCCATCACTCATTACATCATTTGAAGTGCTCTGCAAAGGAAATAAAAGTTTCATATGCAGTGGGAGACTTAACGTGCTTCCTGATAATTTATTCCGAGGCTGGATTAATATAAAGTCATGCTACCCTTTTTAATTTTAGAAACTAGGATTGACTCAGTCATCTTCATTTTGGAGAAAGGCTTCTATTTGAGAAACTAGTGATATAGTTCACTTAACTGATGTACATTTAGTAAGTGTATTCCTTCAGTGGAAGAGCTTATTTACAAGAACGTTAAAGAACAAACGCATGTATTCCATTTCATTAAGAATGCAAGCACTATCAGTTCAGTTCTCATACCTAAACACAGTTTTTCTTCTTCAGCATGTCCAATGTCATGAACTTATTCATTTTGCAGTCAAGACAGCCTTTCCTTGCAAGAAAAAAAAACAAAGAGGAAATCTAATGTATATACTGAAAATAAGCAGATATTTTCCCTTAAAATCAAGTCTTCACATTTCAATGGAAGTATTTTGCTACAGTAATGTCCATGAAACAATGTTCTGCTAATTAAAGAAAAATAAAAGTATGCTTCTATATGTTTCTATGATAGCACAAAAACCAGCATATGAAATTTGAAAGGAAAGAATCAAATTTAAGTGAATGGATCAGTGTAATTAATAACGTGTCCATTTAAGACCTCTTTTATTATTTCAATCCACTATTTCTCATGCAGAAGCTTGAAACCAAAGATAAGTAAGCAAAGTACACTATTTCAAAATTCATAGGACAGCATATTTGAGAAAATATTATTATAAAACATGATTTTAAACTCCAATTATGTTAAAACATCGAAAAATCTATCATATAAGGTCAAATAATCATGAATGTATGAGAAACAGTGCTTTAATATATTTAGAATTAGCACTATTGCCTATTATGGCAATCTAGTATCTTTAACCTAAAGAATATATTTACTATGCAGTGCTCCATGTTGATAACTGTGATGTCTAATAAACTAGCAGCTGACCCATATAGCTACAATAGAACATTCAATATCATATAATCATCACTGGTGTCTGACCAGCATTTCACTTTTTTCCTGGATACTTCTTCCCTTCCCAGTGCTAGCCCTTCCCTTCATTAGGATCACAGACATCTGAGCTCTATTGAACATATTTTCCACTGGGAAATTGTGTGTGGGTAGAACACATAGACTTTGGACTTGCTTGGAATTTCTGGACATTTAGTTGTTTAGTCAGAGTGACAGCTCAGACCAACCTGCCAAAGTCCATAAATGTTTGCCATGCCCACTGTACAAGCACAGAGCAACTCTGCTATTTGTGCACTGCATAAATGGCCTGTGCAAGGGCAACACAGTGTGTTCTGTATCTACCTTGCCGTGCATGCAAAGATCACCAGTTAGGAGCATGAGCTGTAGATCTGAGACATCCCACACCCATCAGGTGTGTCTATGCTGCTGCCTCCCTCCACCCATTCTCTCAAAGCAGTCCATCCCACACTGAAGATACAGACCTAGCACAACACTTGCAAAAAAGACTAAAAAATAACCCATTGCTCAATTCATACCTTCTTATTGTTCATATTCTCTATTTAAACTGCAACCTTTTCTGTGAAGGGATTGTTACTCCATTCTTTTTACATGCACGAAATTCTGTTATTCCTCGCTGCTACTGTGTTGAAGCACTCTTTGCAGCATTAGCTGTAGACAGCAGTTTCTCTGGTTAGGGCATGATGTGATCCTGCAAAGATGAATTCTAAGAAAGGAAGCTGAAAATGAGCTAGATAGATAGGAAAGTTCTCATTGTCTTCCTCCAGAGACTGCACTCAAAAAATGACTTTTTAAGACACAGACATACAGCAAGAGCTCTTTTGGTTAGATTTCAAAATAAACATCTACAGAGAACCACAGTCTTTTGTCTGACACCAAAGCAGGGCATACATAATGGGCTGTATGCTCTTCTTAAGCCACAAGGTAGAACAGCTGTCACAGTTCCAATAAATGCTGCCTTTTATATTCAGAAATACTTAAATCAGAGCTGCTCTACGGTACCATTCTATTTGATCTTTAAAGAGCAATAATGCTGCTAAAGCAGAAAAACCATTATATAAATAAGCAGGCTTATTAATTCATGTATGTTATTTAGGCTGCAAGTAGTAAATACAATGTTAGGAATTACTAGAAAAGAAACACCAAACCAGACAGAAAAGCTACTGGGACAAAAAGGGTGACCAAGACTATCAAATAACTTCAATACAAGAAGCAACTAAAGCTAAGATTCTTGCACCTGGAAAAGGTATGAGTGAGAGGGAGGTAAGACAGAAGTGTATCAAGAAGTTGATGGGAGAGGAGAGCTGGAAAAGGCTGCTGTCTCCTCCAACAAAGACACCTTGAGGGAGCAACATGGGGTCAGCAAACAGACCGAGCGGAGGCACTTCTGCAAGCCGTGGCAGACACTGCTGGTACTCTGGACGATGGGGCTGTGGTGCCAAGACAGCCAAAGAAGCATCAAGAGAAAAAACCCCACCAGCTACCCAAAGAAACACTGCTCTGGCCCAGGAAGCCCCTTGCTGCAGCCAAACCACCAGGGCGAGGCCTGTGACGCCCACCCAGCCCTTGCACTCTTCCCTGGGCCATGAACGCGGCATCTGACCTGGTATGGCCCATCCAATGTCCTCACAGTCTCAGGATCAATATAATGGATGCGAGGGCTGCATGTTAATTCCCTCAGAAGAGGAACGTCACAGAAAAAAGCCTCCTTTTCCTGCCACCAGTTGGGCCTGCCGTGCTTCCTCACCCCAT